GCCAGCCGCTGCCGTGGATGGATAGCTAGCGCGTAGGGAGAGAGGGTGGAGTGCATCAGTGCATGGCTGGCGTCGGCAGCTGCAGCGGAGAGGCTTGCTCAGGCTTGTCATGTGGCGTGTGATGTGTTGGGATGGCAAGTAGTCACGTGTCCCTTAATGTTTATCGCTAGGATTTTCGTGTGGATAGCTTTAACTCGATTTATAAAAAATACGTATAATATTTCTATTTTTAAATAAATTTATTAAAAAACTAGATTCAAATATCTATCTAATAATATTAATTATATATTATAAATATTAATATATTTTTTAATATATATTTAGTCAAAGTTGCACTGTGGTTGCAGTTGCAGCTGCAGCTGCAGGAGGAGGCGGCAAAGCACCTAGGATTACCTAGCTCTGTGTTCTTGAGCTTTTACAACAGCACACCAGAGTATCAGATGGAGATGTGGTCCATCCATACGACCATACCCTTGCTCAATCCTTCGCTTCCGATCCCGTTTTCCTTTTTTCTCTTTTCCTTTTTTTCCATGTCTTTATTTGAGTGTAGTGCATTATTGCTTGTTCAAATGCAGTGAGAAATGCTCTAAACTCAGTGATATCAACAAACGCGGTTGCAGAGCAGTGAAAAGTAGCAAAGCTGCAGGTTATTTTCATCGCTGTGAAAAGTCAGAAATGCTCTCGACTGAGTGCCTGTTTAGTTCCCAAAATTTGCAAAATTTTTTAAGATTTTCCGTCACATCGAATCTTTGGACGCATGCACGAAGTATTAAATATAAATAAAAAATAAAACTAATTACACAGTTTAGACGAAATTCACGAGATCAATCTTTTAAGCCTAATTAAACTATGATTGGACATTAATTGTCAAATAACAACGAAAGTGCTATATTACAATTTTCAAAAAAAATCGTCAACTAAACCAGGCTGAGTAATTCAGCAATTCAGCCCCAGTTGCCACTTTTTCACTCCCTCAGCAATTCAGCGTGTAACAGTGTCGCGCTTCTGCGTTGGACCGCAAAACAAAAAAGTGTTTCTTCACAGCAGCAGCTTGCAATGAATCGCGATGAACCATCATGTCCACCAGCCATTTCTCTCTCATCCAGTCCTCCTACCAGTGGCTTTGGGAGCTGCTGCCGTATGCACCACAGGCAGGCAGCAAGTGACGCACTGCAGCAACTTTGCACCACTCGAGCAAGCTAGATAGGAGTCAGCCTATAGCCAGCGGCAGCGCGGAGGTGGAGGCCACAAGCCACAGTGGCCGCCTGCGTGCCTGCCGGCTCCCTCCCCTGCCTGCTGCCTGCTGCCTGCTACATGCGACTAGCCAACGTGCAATTAGTTTTATAATTAAAACATATTTAATTATCGTAGTTAGCATCCGAACGTTCGACCTTTATTTCAAAATATGCACATGTGAACTACTTCGGTTTGTTCGTTTGGCTGGACTTATTCGTGAAAAAATACTGCTAGCTGGTTTGTATGAGAGAAAAATACTATTCCGACTGAAAATTTATGATCGTTTCACCCAAGCCGAACAGCTGACTGTATGCATACTTTTTATATGCATAAGTGCTAGCTTTTCCCTTGTAGGAGTGGCACCATGTTTACTGCAGCTGGTTGGCCTTCTTTTGACCCTTGTTTAGGTGCTCAAAGTTGGGGCCGTCGGATTCACTGTAGCGCACTGTAGTATTTCGTTTGTATTTGATAATAATTGTCCAATCGTTGACTAATTAGGTTCAAAACGTTCGTCTCGCAAAGTACAACCAAATTATGCAATTAGTTTTTGATTTCGTCAACATTGAGTATTCTATACATATACCGCAAGTTTAATGTGACGGAAAATTTTTTTTTTGTATAGTGTCAAAGTTTAGATTTTGGGGTAACTAAATAAGGCCTTGATTCATGAGTCCCCAGATGGCTGGTAAGTTGCCTTATTTGAACTTTTAATACTTGTTTAAAGTTTAGTTTCACTTTGATTCACATTTGTAGTTGAAAGACCATTCTTAATATGTGATTTTTTACTGTGTTTGAGAATAATCAGAGCCGTCTATACCTCTTGATCTAATGGCTAAGAAGGCAGAAAACCAAATGATAGGAACTTAGTTGTGGACCGGAACTAAAATCCCTTGAGCCAGGAACCTTATTTTTTACTGATAATTAAATTATAAAGGGTGTAACTGTACTTTCATTTTATCTTTTCCTTTTTACAAAAATACTTATATTCTACATTAGCACGTTCCCGATCCTCGTTTTTAATTCGCCACTTGCATGAGGAAGCCTGGAAGGGGCTCGCCGGTGGCCTATCTCCTCGCGGCTTGCCCCCGCCCGCCAGGAACGAGATCCTCACGGGTCAGAGGGACGAAGGGCCGCACTGCCACGGCTCTCGGCTTCTGCAGCTGCCATGGTCGCACCATCGTGGGAGAGGAACTTCCATTGGCACGTCGGCACACCTGCTGCCATGGCTGCTGCACCACGTTAGATGTGTTCTTGGGCGCCGCTCGGCGCTGCTGCGGGCTGGCACGGCTGCCGGTGACCGAAGATGGGGGCGTGGCCAGGCGCGCTTTCGAGGGAGCCGCAGTGTCCACGAGCGGCGTCTACGAGTGGGGACGGGAGCGGGGGCAGGGGCAGGGGCGGACGGCGTCCACGAGCGGGGGCGGGGGCGGACAGCGTCGACTTGCTGAGGCAGGGACGGGGACGGGAACGAACGTCTGGGAGAAGCCGTAGGGAGAAAAAAAATTTCCAATTGTTAAATTACTATACCAACCCTACGCCAAAAATAGAAAAGGATGGGTGGAACTGCTAGTTCCTCCAAGCACTGTAAAAAATCTCTCTTAATATAAGAGACAAGTTTTTAGTGGCATTGACAACCTTAAGATTTAAGACGGTCATTTGAACATTACACAAGGATCATATGCAAAGGAACATACTTTGGACTTCAAGGAATTATTACATATAATTTTTTTAGCCAGCCCTAATTTAGAAGCAGGTATGATTACATTTGTGCAGACCTACCGAGAAAATGTAAGTTTGGCTCCTCTAATGATCATTGTTGTTTGCTCTAAGCTCTGTATTCATTAGCACAAGAGTACAAGTTCTTTCCTTGGGATGAACTTTGATAGAAAAATGAAGTATTTCAGGCTAGGTTTGGACACCCAGGTGCATTTGTAGTAGCACTGCAGACACTAAGGGGACATGGAACTGATATCTCTGAGGAGGCCTCAGAAATAAAAGTATGGACATGTCAAGAGTTAAAAACAATCCTTCTATTCTTTAACCATGTTCCCTTGTTAATTCTACAGTCTATATCCAGGTTTTCACAGAAAAACTTCAGCGCTTACCAAAGTCGAAGATGTTAGACCTGTTTCAAAAGGATTACATTCGTGCTGTTACAGTGAGCAACTGAGCATCTTAAAAATTCTGCTGTTCTACATAGATTCTGTTGTTTTTCTAAAGTAGGGCTCCATGCTCAGGCTGGAGTTGGGCTTATGGCCCTTCAGCAGCTTGGGGGTGTAAATGGCATTCTCTTCTACGCCAGTGAAGTATTCGTTTCGGCCGGTAATGACCTGAACAATGACAACTTTCTGCCTTAACTCACGTACACTCGTTCTGTTATCACAAACCGGGGTATACCGGGGCACTACACTAACATTAATGATATGAATCAGGTTTCTCGTCAGGAAACACAGGAACAATCGCCATGGCAGTAGTACAGGTTTCTTCATCAGGCGGATCCATGCTTGTTACTGAATTCAGGCGTCTGGTTAGACTCTTGAATTTTCAGGTTCCAATGGTCGGACTAGGGGTGCTTCTGATGGACAAGGCTGGAAGGAGGCCACTTTTGATGGTAACAAAGTTATTATACTTGAAACTTGACAGTCAACAATGAATTATGATCAGGAATATTTATGAATTCCAGATCTCTGCAGCTGGGACATGCCTGGGTTGTCTACTAGTTGGTTTCTCATTCTTGTCTAAGGTTTGAATTTTTTTATGATATTGAATTGATCGCCTCATCGTAAGAAGGTCGACTGCAAGTTGCCATTCTTGGTCTCGCTCAACCAGTGATCTCTCTTCTTGAAAAAACAGGAACAGCACTGGGAAAGAGACCTGAACGGTGTTGGCTTTGGCCGGACTTCTGATACGCACTGGTGACTGCTGCTATTCACCATTCCCGTCAAGTGAGGTTTCTCTGACGCACACATACACACACTCAGAACTGTTGTTCTGAAGCCTTTTGTTGTCTGCAAACCAGGTTTTCATCGGATCCTTTTCACTGGGTATGGGGGGAATACCATGGGTTATAATGTCAGAGATAAATTTGTACCCTAACTTTATAGAGACATGGGATTAGTTTCTGACCAAACCACAAAACATTCAGAACCAAAGCATTTTTCTCCATAATACTATACTATAATATGAGTATACATGGCATTTTTCTCCATAATACTATATTATAATATGAGATGAGATATGCATACTGGAACCTTTTAGCCAAGTTAGGGCCTGTTTATTTTTCTCCAAACTTGTGTAATACATGAATATTAAATATTGAGATGAATCAAAACTAATGCATTGGTTGTACTTTCTGAGACCTTTTGAGCCTAATTAGTCAGAATTATTACCAAATACAAACGAACGCTACAGTAGCTACTGTGGCTACAGTAACTCTGCCGGCGCCGATTCCGCGCCGAACTAAACGAGGGCTTAGTTAAGCAGAGCGAGGGGTATTATAGTCCTTACATTCAGAGTAGTAAAGGTAGTATAACCGACACTGGTCTGGATTCAGGTTTTCTTGGAAACGTTCCCGACACGGTTTCGAAAATTCGAAGTCGGATTCATCAAAAATGTTGGATTTCGATCGCATTCAATTCAAGCATCCCGAGAATCGGACTCGAGCCGCCGCGTATAATAAATCAAACCGGGGTCCCCACGTCCACATCCGTCTCGTTCTCAAGTCCCGCGGCACGCGCACGAGCACGCGCTCGAGCTCTCCCTGCACCATGTCGGCGGCGGAGGCTCTAGGGCTCCCACCGGGGGTTCGCTTCGACCCCACGGGCGACGAGCTCGTTGAGTTCTACCTCCTGCCGCGCGCCCTCGGCCGCCCGCCCGCGGTGCCGGGGATCATCATCGAGGACGACACCGCCACCACCAGCACCAGCGCGGAGCACCCCTGGAAGCTGCTCACGCGCCACCGCCGCACCGACGACAGCGAGGCCTACTTCTTCGAGAGGGTCGCCGCCGGCAGCGGCGAGACCACCAAAGGCGGCGGCGCAGGCGCTCGTCAGGACCGGAGCTGCGGCGGCCGCTGGACGTGGGTGGGGCAGAAGCGCGCGCCGGACGAGGCGCTCCCCCCGCGCGGCGACGGCGAGCACGTCTCGTGGGGTAAGTACTCGCTCAACCTGCAGGAGGGCCGCCGCCGCAGGGGCGGCAGCACGGGGTGGGTCATGCACGAGTACACCGTCGCCTCGCCGCAGTGCCCGTTGCTCCCCGTCAAGCTCTGCCATGTCTCATTCACCGGCCACGGCCAGAAGCGCCAGCGCGTGCCCGACGACGACGGCGGCGGCGAGGGCGAGGGCCAAGAGCTGGAACCACAAGCCGACACGGCGCCTCAGCACAAACGCGCCGCCACCGGGTCTTCCATGGTAACCACGGCGACGGCGATGCCAAATCAAGAACTCAGCGAGGCTCGCGCGCAGCAAAATCAGGAACAGCAGTTCCCGAACTACGACTACGATACATCATCCATTGGGCATTTCTGGAGCTCAGACGCCGGATTTAGCCAAGAATCGTCCATCATCCTGGATCCTTCGTACCCTGATGCACGATCAAACCACCAAGAACCCTTTGCGCTGGATCAACAACTCACTCAGATTCAACAATGTTCCGCGAGCCAATCGCAAGCTTATCATCAAGAGCAGTTCATGTTCATGAACCCTGCGGGATCATCCACTGAAGCGCATTGTGCGGTGCAATCGGCATCAGACCTCGGATCAAGCCAAGAACCTCAGGTGTGGCATCCTCTGACTGAAGAACAACAATTCAGTCTGGCTCAGCTTCTTGGCGCCATCAGCTCGCCACGCTGCCCTCCCACAACGCCGGCCACCTACCATGAGCAGGAGCAAATCCAGAGGTTCGCACCTGTAGCAACGGCTGATCTCCTCCCGTTGTCGACGGTTCAAGAATCCTGCACGACGGAGCAATCGCATGGAAACATGGGCCAATACGACGATTTCTTCAGGGGGTGGAGCGATCTCGACAGCTTCTGCGACACATCAGGCATCAAAGACGACGACGACATGGCTGCCCAAACGCTTGCCGCCGTTGGTTGTGGAGGAGGATCGTCCTTGGACCAGCATTTCTTCTATCAACAACCAGCTTTCTAAGAATTTTGATTCTTTCCATCGTTCTTGTTGTAGTGAGCAACCTTATTTTGTACTGTCATACGTTCCCTAGGAATTTTGATTCTGTCCCATTGTTCTTGTTTTAGTGAGCAACCTTATTTGTACACACAGACGGGTTCCCTAGGGATTTTGATTCTTTCCATCGTTATTATTGTAAGTGAGCAACCTTAGCCAGCTCCGTTCGCTGGTCTAAAATTTAGTTGAAATTGGTTGAAAAACATTATTCTGACTGAAATATTGTGATAGAAAACAACTGAAAAAAGAAGCCGCAAACTAAACTTTATACCAGCAGAACGAGGCCAGTCCGTTCCTGTGTAGCACAGTGCTCTGTTTTTTACTTCTTGTCTTCTGAACAGAAAGGGATCTTGTAATGATTGGTACCATTAACTTCTGTTTTTGTCCCCTGAAAGGAAAGAGATCTTATTTCTATTTTCATCTGATTCCCCGGAAATGAAAGAGATCTTATGACATACTATTCCGCGTGCCCAAAGGACCTTTTTCTATTACTACTACCATGACAAGACTATTTGAAACACTGTTCATATAATTACTAGCTTATACCTAGATCTATTACTTACATGCTTGGAGGTTGGCTCATAAGTATTAGAAGGGAGGATAAAAAACTGATTTTCATGGGGATTTGCTCCTATTATTTGAACAATTTGGTATACTTGTGATGATATTGTTTTTAGGAAAAAAAAACTTTTATTGCAGACAAAGACAACGTGAAGACACAAGAGAGAAGTTTTGTTTGGCAAACAAAGAGTTGGAGATTATCGCTTGTTTGCAGATGACCAAGTAATAATAGCATTTGTATATGATTTCCTTTTTGTGTTCACTCTTTCCCCTATATTTTTAAGTGAATAAACTAACAACTTTGTAAGACTTGGTTATGTGTTGCAGATGCCAGTTTTTTTGAAAAAGGTCTACTTAACCCCTCTAGCTCTTAGTGGTTGTCTAGTTCATCATTTCAGCTATAAAACAAGTCATACTAATCCTTAAATTATTGAAGACCATCTAAATAATTAATCTCTTGAGGCGGTTTCATTGGCGTGACATATTATATGGGTGTTGACATGGCAATGAGTCAAAACAGTAGAAAAAGAATCTATATAATTCCATAACATACCAAGTGTTAATACAGAACCCCTCAACGGTAAAACCCGATATTATAGCCCTTAAAAAATCTAATAATATTTAAATGGCCTATTGAATAGTTTTGTAACGTTGTTTTAATAATGTGTCATGCTACACTGGCATAAGTACTCATGCTTATATACAAGCTCATCTATCCGTCTGTCCCCTCCCTCTCCATACTCTTTCTAGACTTGCCCCACTACCTGATGAGCAGCACACGATCTCCTATCTCCTACTTCACCTCACAGCCCAGCAGCATTGAGCTCATATACCACATCTCTTACTCCACTTTTTATGGTACTTCTTAGCAGCATTGAGCTTATGCACCACGCCTACACCCTCCTCATCACTCATCCCTCAACTTCTCCCACGTCTTCGGCCCCTCTAGCTTTCTCCTCCAACTCTTACAGTTCTGTTTACTTCTTTTCCATAAAATTTACCTCCATACCGATATATCGCTGATATGACATGATTGTCATGATACCATCCAAAGTTGTGATACCGAATGCTACATTTCAACAGTGTTGTAGTGTCAATCTATCCTCGCTAGCAAAGATGGAAAGATTTCTATTATTTTGTCAGGAGCAATTTTAAGAGTCCCTCTATATCCTTTCTAATTGATAGAAAAAACGATTTTGGTATTAAAAAAAACTTCAACAGCTTATTTATTTAGACAAATATTAATATCTTATATTATAGATCTCTCGCTGGCTAAAGATAAAGAATAAAATTAGCTCTCTAGAATACCCATCGGATATAGAAAAACTTTTAGAGAATAAAAAACATATAGAGAGCATTTTTTGTTCAGATTAGCCTCTAAATTATGATTTAGAGAATGAGTTTAGAAAGAACTCTCGGAGATGGTCTGATCCTGACGAAATCGCAAGTCATGGATGGTCCCATCTGCATTAAAATTATGGCGACTAAACTAGCCCATAAGGGCCTGTTTAGTTCCCCTCCAAAATGTCAAAATTTTCAAGATTTTTCATCACATCGAATCTTTGAACGCATGCATGAAGCATTAAATATAAATAAAAAATAAAACTAATTACACAGTTTAGACGAAATCTACGAGACGAATCTTTTAAGCCTAATTAGACTATGATTGGACACTAATTGCGAAATAACAACGAAAATTCTACGTTGTGATTTTGCAAAAAAAAAAAAAAAATCGGCATCTAAACTGGCTCTAACTGCGCAATTAGCCCTTTCGCATCGATGAACGAAATAAAAAATGACAAAGAAAGGACAAGGGAGGAAAGAAACGTACAAGCGTCTGCACATGTCAGTACATCGGTCACTAGTGGACCAGACCGATCCACACCGGTCGCCGGTCGTCCTTGTCAAGTCGTCAGCTCAGCTCGAAAAACACCAGACGACGGAGTTCGCCTACTGAGAGGGAGAACCCAGGCCGGACCGATGGAGCTAGAGGATCAAGAAGCGCAGGAGCCTCTCCTGGTCACCGCGGCCGGGAGAAGCGGTGATGGCTGTCACTTAGCTGCGTCCGGCGCCGCCTCGTCCTCCTCTTCGATTGCGGTGGTGGTCGCCAGCACCGCCGTCTCCGTCGCTGGATCCTTCGAGTTCGGCATCTCGGTAATTAAACCTTCGCGCTTCGCGCTTGTTTATTAGTTTATAATATTTTTCTTCTACAAATCAGCTTCAGCCGATTTTAATCCTCTGTAGTGTCTGCTACAGCATGCTTCAAATTTCCTGCCTTTGTGGAGTAGATAACCAAGCTAGAAGACAACTAGGACCAAGAACTGGTGGTATATCTTTTTCCGGCAAATCATCGGCACTTGCTTGCCGGGGCAAGTTAATTTCGAGTTCTTGCATCCTGCAGGTCGGCTACTCGTCGCCTTCTCCGCCTGGCATCATGCGTGACCTCAACCTCTCCTTAGCAGATGTACCCTCCTGTAAGGCTGTAAAAGATTTGACAGAAAAGGACACGAGGTCCTGTTCATCCGCAACTGACACAAATCTTGCTCAGATCCACGAGTTCCTGTTCATCCGCAACTGACACAAATCTTGCTCATATGCAGTACTCTGTCTTTGGCTCGATACTACCATTGGAGCAATGCTAGGAGCTATTGTCAGTGGTACCGTGGCAGACCGAGTTGGTCGAAGAAGTGTTAGTGTAAATCCATTTTTCTCTTTGAAAATAGTTCCCATAATGTGTACCTACGGCTACACAAGAAAGGAAATCACTTGTTCGCTTTCCACTGGGCAGTGGACATTGACTGGCACAATATCGCCTAATTTTTCTTGTTTGATGCCACATGCAGGCAATGGCGATATCAGATCTTCTCTGCATTCTTGGATATCTCTTGATAACCTTTTCCCAGGTCTTCCCCTCTGTCTCTGTATTAGTGTATTTCTACATTAGTGGACCATCAACTTTTGAGAAATGATATCTTCTGAGTCCACTTAATCAATCCTATAGTGTGATTTTCGTGTATTCTCCTGTAGAATTTCTGGTGGCTTGACATTGGAAGGTTCTCAATTGGATGTGGAATTGGCCTTCTTTCATATGTGGTGAATATAATAACCTACTCTTTTGTGTTATCTTTTTCAAATGGATTTGGTCTGAATCTTGTAGCATCTGAACAGGTTCCAGTCTATATCAGAGATAACACCAAAGAATCTTAGAGGAGGATTCGCAACTGTAAACCAGGTACTGTGCCTGATCAAGGGAGTTCATTGCTGGATGTTCAGAGCTTTATCTTAACAAAACAGCTTCCCTATTTATGCAGTTTATGATCTGTTGTGGGGCATCACTTGCTTATGTTCTGGGAACTTTTATCACCTGGCGGACTTTGGCAATCATTGGTAAGGAAATTTCTTGGGTGCATCATTCTACCATTCCTAAAATAAAACGAGAATAGATTCTAGGTGTGCATTAATGAGGAGCAGATATTGCACCAATTTTAGCTGACCCCTTTTTTTCTAACTATGTCTCCTTCAAAATTCATGCACAAGGGTACCAAGAGATTCAATGCATGTCATTGTATACAGATTTTAACTTTCCTATTGTAGGAGTGGCGCCATGTTTGCTGCAATTGGTTGGCCTTTTTGTGACTCCTGAGTCCCCAAGATGGTTGGTTAGTAGCTTTATCTGAAGTACTAATACTTGATGATCTTTTTTTTTTGTTACATAATCATCCAAGTTAAGAACACTTCCCGTATTAGAAGTTTAGAACTAAAGATGACATTTACAAACTAAAATCATACATTTCTTAATAATGTCATGGAGATACACTCATGGGAACATCATACAAGGATCATAAGTAAGGGAGCAGATTTTGGAATTTTACATATAAATATTTAGCTTTTGGACTAAATTTAGAATCTGTTATGAACTTATGATAAGATCTGCATCTGGACTAAACAATGAAAAAGGGTAAAACCATCTCTACTTCTGACCTTATATCATTAGATAGAACCCACAACTTCATAACTTTAATTTGGAAGTCAGAACAATGCCTGACAAAGACCATGTATGATGTATCTCAGGCTAGGTTCGGCCACCCAAGTGCATTCGAGGCAGCATTACAGAAGCTAAGGGGAAAGAGAACTGATATCTCTGACGAAGCAACAGGGATCAAAGTATGGAGTGCTTGACAGCTTGAGAATAAAAATAAGCATTCAACTTAATCATGCATTAAAGAAACCTCTTGATAATTCTCTAATATTAATATTCAGGATTTTACAGAAAAGCTTCAGCAATTACCAGAGTCGAAGATGTTGGACCTGTTTCAGAAGGATTATATTCGTGCTGTTACAGTAAGCATCTTTAATATGTCGTTCTTCCTATTACGACATGTTTCTGTTGTTGTTTCGTGGTGGATCAGGTCTGCATTCAGGTTCGAGTAGGGTTAATGGTCCTTCAACAGTTTGGGGGAGTGAATGCCATTTGCTTTTATGCCAGTGAAATATTTGTTTCAGCCGGTAATGAAGAATGACTTATATCCTTAGCTCGCATAAACTTGTTTTGGTCCTGACAAGAGTTATTTTTACAATGGAACGCCCTTGAATACTATACTAATTACTAAGTGCTCATGCTACAAATCAGGTTTCTCATCAGGAAATACAGGAATGCTCGCTATGGTTGCTGTTCAGGTCTCTTCAACAAGACCCTAGTCTACTCATGTGCTCTTTACTGAATGTTGGTGTATAATTTGAGTTCTGATTTGCAGATTCCGATGACGGGACTAGGAGTACTTCTAATGGACAAAGCTGGACGGAGGCCACTTTTGATGGTAAAGAAAAGATATATTCAGAGTTAGTAATTTCTCTAATAATACAAGGATACGCAGGTCTCCTGATAATAATGAATTATGACCACACTGATAATATGTGTTCTACAATATTTCAGGTATCTGCAGCTAGAACATGCCTGGGTTGCCTACTAGTTGGTTTCTCATTCTTAGCTAAGGTCTGCTGCGATTTTATCCTGATAAGAAGATCAACAACTTCCCATTTGTCAGAACAATGGGCAGACCCAGTGCCAGAGGCTCCCACATGAGTGGTGTCTGGGGAAGGGATAAACCGAGACAAGCCTTTCCCCCGCAAAATCTGCGGAGAGGCTGCTTCGAACCCACGACCTGGTGCCTCAGTGAGACAGGAACATGAACATCACTGGGGAAAGGATCTGAACTTAGTGCTGGCTTTGGCAGGCATTCTGGTACGTTACTATTTATTGTATATTTTCCTGTAATACTTTCAGAGAGGTCTCTCTCTCCCGCTCTTTCGCTTGCGTGCGCCCACACACAAAACTGTTGTTCTGACGATTTTTATCATTTGCAAACCAGATTTTCGGTGGATCTTTTTCACTGGGTATGGGGGGAATACCGTGGGTTATAATGTCAGAGGTACCTTCCCTGCCATAAGTAAAGACAAAGGATATTACTGTCGAAAACAAAATTTTGAGAACAGAAGTGTACTTGAATTGGACATGCAGATCTTTCCCATAAACATTAAAGGAGCAGCAGGAAGCCTTGTGACACTCGTCAGCTGGCTTGGCTCGTGGATCGTCTCATATGCCTTCAACTTCCTCCTGGTGTGGAACTCCTACAGCAAGTCAAGGCGCACCAAGTGGAATAGAATTTTGGTCAGTGTAGCATACCAGCATCGGCATAAACATCTATGCCGCCATGCCTGCAGTTTCGTGACTCTGCAACAACTTCTGATGATATATATTTGTGTGTGACTTGGACGGAATGCAGGCACATTCTTCATCTTTGCAAGCATCTGTGGGCTCACGGTTCTGTTTGTGGAGCGGCTAGTGCCAGAAACCAAAGGAAGAACCCTAGAGGAGATCCAAGCCTCCATGAACTCATCCTTAACGGGCCCCCTTTGACATATGATTTGCTTTTCTAGTTTACATAGGCAAATACCTCTGCGGATGGTAGAGGCCGAAACTTTGTTCCCTTGTTTAAAAAAAAAACATAGCCAAATACCTGGATGGGATGCTAGCATGTAAAGCTTCAGTGGTCATGTGGTCATTGTTTGTACAGTACACATACAAGTTTGTATATCATATTTTCTCAATAATATGCAGTGTAATAGATATGTCTCTCTCAGAGTCTCAGTTCTTTTTTTTCCATTTGTCTTGTGCTGCTTTTTTTTTCTTCTCAATAATATGCAGTGTAATAGATATTTTTCTCAATAATATGCAGTGTAAAACAAGTTTGTATGAGACGCTGACTGTGGCCCCTACCAACAAATATTGTCGAGTGACAAGCAGCAACGAGAAGAGATAAGGTTCTTGGCAACAACAGGGCTGCCGTGCCGCGTGCACGCTTGGACGATGCAGCTCCAGCATGGCTCTCGACCTCGAGTGGCAGCAGCCGCCGGTGCTGCTCATCGTCCCCGCAGTCATCTCCCCTGCCGACCTACTAGCCTCCCGTGCCGCGGCAGCAGGACGAGGACGACGGCGCTGGTTCTTGTAGCCGCAACGACAAGAGAAGGGGCGAAGACGGCGGCATTGGCCACGGCGGCGGACGTGGTGAGGGAGTTCTACGACGGCGTGAACCGGCGGGACCTGGCGGCGGTGGAGCCGCTCATCGCGGAGGGCTGCGTGTACGAGGACCTGGTGTTCCCGCGGCCCTTCGTGGGGCAGGAGCGGATCGTCGGCTTCTTCTGCGAGTTCATGGGGACCATCAGCCCCGACCTGTTAGTCATCGACGACATCTCCGCCGACGACTCCGCCGCCGTCGGGGTCACCTGGCACCTGGAGTGGAGGGGGAGGCCATTTCCCTTCAGCAGGGGATGCAGCTTCTACCGCTTGCTCGCCTCGGAGTCGGAGCAGCAGCCGCTGCAGATTGTGTACGAACAACAGCTTCAACTGCTCTCCTCTCATTTTGCAGTACTGAATTGTTCACTCGCCCAGCTTCTGGATTCAAATCCATATTGTGATATTGACATGATCGATCTTTCGATCAGGTATGGTCGAGACTGCGTGGAGCCTGCCGCCAAGCCCGGGGATTTGGCACTGGTACGTAAAACTCGGGCATTGACTATTCTTACGCGCATGTTTGACAGTTTGCGGCTGCAATTCTGCAATTGCATCGCTCAGCTTGTGTATTCAGTAGTTGTACGTATCATGGTGGCGCTAGGCATGAAAGTTTTCATTGCATGCAGGTAATCATCAGGGGGGGTGACATGGATCCTTGAACGATTTCCAAGCCCCTTGACAGCAGGCTCTGATGACCTCACGAACACAACCGCGAAGACGCCAACCAGCTACAGGCTACGTTACTACGCAGCTTGCTCGAAAGTCCAGTGAGAGCAAGTGTGTATAATGTTGAGTAGTATTGCCGCTGCTCCAAATTATATAAGATGTGTCGGCTTTTCTAGATTCATCGTGTTAACTACATACATATCTAGATATGGTATATATTTAAGTACATAGCAAAATTTACGTAAAAAAAATCAAATATATAATTTTACTAGGGTAATATCCGTGCGTTGCACCGGGTTAACAATCAAGTGTAAAATAAGAGAAAAATTTGTTTGTACTACCGATGACACAAGGTAATCAATCAAGTTTTTGAGGATTTTTTTTGTTATCTTGTGAAGCAATTAGGTTAATATGTCAAATTAGGTAGTACGAATCTAAAATGCTATGAATGTTATAGGTATTGCACCAACAAAATGTTGATGTTATAGGTATGGACCAACAAGAATTTAAAAGAAATTAAAAAATTACATCGCAGAGTCCGGTCCGAGTCCTTCCAGGTCCGATATATTTTTTTAACAGAGATTTTGTTCTGCCGGTAGACTTTGTTTTTTTTCCTTGCCCGTTCGAGTACTTTGTGGAAAGCGGCAAAGATCCTCAGGGTGAACGGCGTATTCTAGAGGCAGTACTCATGAAGTCATGAGGACCATCAGAAATTCCTCAGCTCGCTGAGATATTGCTTAATATTGTTGCTGACACGTAATTTTTTTATTTGGCTCACACGTAACTTTTTTATTTGAGTAAAATTAGACATAGTTGTCATTGTTGTGTTTGTTAGATGTGCAGGATTACTAATTGAACTAACCTTCCGCGACCGACCCTAGCATGCAATTTCTTAAAAATCACGGTCCAGGGGAATTTTGGCTAGGTGTGAATGTCGCAGACGCAGGTGACAGCGCGCGGAGGAGTTTTATTTTTTTGCGTTGATCGTGGATACTCAGCCCTGTTCACTCATTGGTTTTAACCGGAGCTTATCGGTAAATTAAACGGTGTTTTCCTCTTATAATAAAACCAAAGAATAATGACTTATTAAATTTTAAACCAACCAACGCAAGGCGAGGCATTGTTATGTTCGGTTGATAATTTCTGCAGAATCGATAAACCGAATCGATCTTGCATATTAAATCAATCACTTCATCCGTGTATATTGTTTTTTGACTTCTTACCTACGCACTTGAGAACATTAAATAATGGGACTATAACTTCTTTTTTCGATATATTTGTCCTTTTGTCCGTATAACTTGATTCTATTTTAGATCTCTATTTTGTCGAACACGATTCTATTATCCTAGTGAAAAGAAGAGATTTCCCACCAGTTTACATCTATTTTCATCCCTATCTAGGTTGCATCGATCATTTGATTTTTTTTCCACCAAAAAATGGGTCTTAGCTTGACTACTCCAGCTTGTGAGTGAGCAGAAGGTGTTAGCTTTGCTACTCCGGCTTGTGGGTGAACAGACCAAAAAGATTATCTTGTGACCTGACAAAGTAAAAAGGATAGATAACACAGCTTGTGAGTGGACAGACCAAAAAGGAAAAAGAAAAAAAAGATAGACAACACAGCTTGTGAGTGGACAGACCAAAAAGCAAAAAAAAAAAAATGAAAAATGGATAGTGACAGACCAAAAAGGAAAAAAAAAAGATAAACAACACAGCCTGTCAGTGGACAGACCAAAAAGCAAAAAAAAAAAATGCAAAATGGATAGACAACACAGCTTGTGGACAGACTAAAAAGAAAAAAGAATGCAAAAATGCTCCCGGCGGGGCTCGAACCCGCGACCTTCGGCTCATAAGACCAACGCTCTAACCAACTGAGCTACGGGAGCTGATCCTATTAATCTTTTACTTTACATTTATTATAGGCAGTCCATTTCATATACAATCTCCTGAATGGTAGCGGGTCGGATAAGATGCGACAGAGCATTTACCCACTCATGAGCGTACCCCCAGGTAAGGTTTCGTACCCACGCCCGGCTGGTATCATGTACGCCTTCGCTATATTCAAGACAGATCAAATAATAAAATTACAATGATATAAAATAATAAATTTATGGTTAAATGACACGCAAATATGTCAATTTCACTTATATAGTGTTTACTAGGATAATATACAATAGCTCACAAGCCACCATACATCATAGATTCATAATTCAGTCATGCTCGTACAAATAACACAAAACAACTTACATAAGAACTAAAGTAACAAGTTAATAGCTCATACAATCATTTTATTCAGCCATTCATAAAAAATATCATCTTTATAGTGCCACATGCTATGTATATGCTACAAATTGCATATTAAATGAGCTAGTCGACGTGATATGAACAACAGGGGCCTTCTGGCCATGGTGAAGCGCGCTTCAACAACCATTGGAGGTACTATTCTCTTGTTAAAAATATGCTTATCATTTCCGAACGACGGGAGCACCGATTCCCATTCAAATCAGCATTTTGCAACACCAACAAACTCTACTTTACATAGGCACAGACAAATGTAATGGAGACAAAGCAAGCAATGCCATTGGAGGTACGTATACCGAGTTATCGATATCTTCTTCTTCTTCTTCTTCTTCTTCTTCTTGCGTTAAGAGTTATCGATATCGTGCACAGTAGACAGTACATGGCTCACCTGAGACCTGACCACACTGCATCCATCCAAGCAAGTTACTACTACAAACTTATTGCTACTATGCATGAATCCGTGAGCCGTTAACCTCCACCGGTATCGCGTCCAACAAGCAAAGTTACTGTATGCATCCTGTGTTTTCAGCTGTTTCTACCAGCTTTCTGAACCATTCCCTGTGACAAAAGCGCGATCCGATCCATCCATCAGCGTTTCACGAGCTAAGTTATATTCATCGGTTCAACTTCCAACCCACCCGCCTAGCTAGCTAGCTGTTGGGAGTAGTAACTCTAGCGATCGAGGCAACTATAAATATTCGCGATCGACCGCGATGAGAGCATGCACAGGTAGCAGTCGACGATCGAGGTTCAGAGAGGTTGCACTGGGCGCCGGTAGTCGCCGGAGAGGAGATGGACGACTACGGGAGGCTGGCGCTGGCCGTGGCGGTGGTGGCAGCGGTGGCGGGCACGAGCGGCGGCGCGGCCGCGTGGGGCTGGCAGCAGCAGCCGCTGGCGCCGTGCATGTACATCTTCGGGGACTCGCTGGTGGACAACGGCAACAACAACGACATCCTGAGCCTGGCGCGGGCCAACTACCGCCCCTACGGCATCGACTTCCACGAGGGCCCGCCGGGGCGCTTCACCAACGGCCGCACCATGGTCGACTTCCTCTCCGACATGCTCCGCCTCCGCCCGCCGCTCCTCCCGCCCTACGCCACGGCGAGGCCGGAGGACCTCCCCCGTGGCGTCAACTTCGCGTCGGGGGGCTCCGGCATCCTGTCCGAGACAGGAAACAACCTGGTCAGTGCATGGCTCAGTGCCCGTGTGCCGGCCCTGCGGTGCACACGAGCTGTTGTATTTGTGTGTGTGTGTGTGTGTATAGCTGATCAATCAAGAGCTTGCTGCTTGTGGCAATGGCAGGGCGGGCACTACCCGTTGTCGGAGCAGGTGGAGCACTTCCGCGCGGCGGTGAGCGACATGGGGAACACGTCGGAGTTCCGGGGCAACGCCACGAAGGTGGCGGCGCACCTGGGCCGCTGCATCTTCTTCGTCGGCATGGGCAGCAACGACTACCTCAACAACTACTTCATGCCGAACTACTACGACAGCGCGCGCAGGTACAGCCCGCGCGACTACGCCGCGCTCCTCCTCCAGGGCTACTCCGCCCAGCTCACCCAGCTCTACGGCCTCGGCGCCCGCAAGTTCGTCGTCGCCGGCGTCGGCCTGATCGGCTGCATCCCTTACGAGCTCGCTAGGATGAACGACGACAACCGACCGTCGTCTGGGCCTAGTAATCAGTCCGCGGTTGCTACCGAGGACATTGCTATATCCATTGGCATCGGCGGCGGCGGCGGTATCGGCATCAGCATCGGCAAAGGTGGCGGGAGATCACCGTCGATGCCATCCCCATACAAAGACGGAGACGGACGCAACGGCAACGGCAACGGCAATGCAAACCCAGCCCCTGACGCCGCCGGCGGGTGCAACGAGACGATCAACAGCGCGATCGACATCTACAACAAGGGCCTTCTGGCCATGGTGAAGCGCTTCAACAACGGCGGCCCGCAGCAGCTGCGCGGGGCCAAGTTCGTCTTCCTCGACACCGTGCAGAGCGGCAAGGACCTGACGGCGAACGCCGCCGCACACGGGTTCACAGTGCTCAACCGCGGCTGCTGCGGCGTGGGCCGGAACAATGGGCAGATCACGTGCCTGCCCCTGCAGCGGCCCTGCGACGACCGGAGCAAGTACATGTACTGGGACGCCTTCCACCCCACGGAGGCGGTCCACAGGATCTACGCCTCCAAGGCCTTCAGCTCCAACTCCACCGCCGAAGTTTACCCCATCAACGTCAGCCAGCTCGCCGCCATTTGAACAAAGACTAGTCATCCGCTCCAAATCGATCAATCCAATAATTTCGTCTTTTTCATCTTAGTCAACTACATCAGATCTTTCATCTGCCACTCTCAGTCTCTGTGGTCAGGCTTTCAGTCATCATTATATTACTAGTAATTTACGCGCGCCCATGCACACGTTATAACTTTGCGGCTTTATTTGACAAATGAAATAATCTTAACATACACATGACAGAATGGATATGACTTCATATTAGGTGACATCATATTATATCGATACAACACTGCTCTCAAAAATTAAGGGTCAAATGGGCAGAAAAGAATGATGGTATATTGGCTATTTCTATGTGCAATCTAAGCTCAATGGTTTACAGAAAAATAAGCCCTGCTTACAGAAAGATAAGCCAACATAACAAAATATGTTATACATGATGGTACACTATTCTTAATAAGTCTCATTGCAATTTTCTATTGAAGACTCATTCTGTGTGTTTCATTCATAGTGAAAAGAAGCACGAAATACTTATTGGTTCATGAACAGGAACCCAAACCGCTCTAATGACAGATACAACATCAGTGCTATCTGTGCAATGACTAAGCCCGACCAGGCCCTTCAACTGCTGCAGTCCAATAACAATGGAAGCTCCTCCGATGAATCCATTGATTGCAGAAAGAGAATCAACAAGGAAGCCCAATCTCAAAAAGGATCGATGCAAAAGACTAATTAGTGAAAGCAAGGAAAGTAGGCTCATTGTAATCACAAGACTGCAAAGGCTCTACCTGAACAGGCGAAATGCAGACTGGAAGATACCAGTAAAGAATGTCACGGTGAAAACCGTTTTTCCGATAGGAAGCCGGATCTATGTTCGGGGCAGCTATCTTTTGAGCCATTGATGAAAGCAAGAGCACGATGGCAATCGGTCCAATGGCTATCTCCCTAGAGGTCCCCATTACAGCTTACACATGAGGTGGCACACCACATGGCCCGCTGGAGATCTTGCGGGTCGTGTAGCTGAATGTCGACGCGGATGTGGTCCGGAAGGCCCTCAGTGAACAGCTGAGCCTGCTGGTATGGTGAGAGGCGACCGGCGTGCGCCATACGCACCTGAAACGCATCCAGGTACGCATCAACCGACGATGTGAATGGTAGGCGTGCCAGGTCTGCCAGGTGATTGGTACTGAGCGGGGGTCCGAAACGTTGATGGCACAGTCGCTTGAACTCTTCCCACTCGGGCCGGTCGGCGTCACGTTCCAGAATTGTGTACCACATCTGGGCTGTGCCAGTGAGGTGGTAGGACGCGAGCCAGACCCAATCCGCATGACGAGTCTGCTGGCCGCGGAAAAACTGCTCACACTTGAGCAGCCAGCCGAGCGGGTCCTCCTTGCCGTCATAGGTGGGGAAGGACAGCTTATGGTAGCGGGGAACAACAGGGCCCTCCGGCTCCGGCGGTAGATGAGGCAGTGGGGCGGTGTGTGCATCACGGACGAGGGTGGCGGCGTAGCGACCCCTGCCCCTTGCATGATGGACGACAGTGAAGGCACGGGCGATGGTGAGTGTGGGAAGGCAATCTGGGTGATGGGAACACCCGTGGATGGCGGCTGCGGCGGCAGGGACAGGGCACCGGGGATGGTGACTCCGGTGGTCGGCACTGGGGGTGCGGCCTGGAAAGATGGTGCGGGCAGCGGGAGCACCGAGACGGCCGGGCCCGACGCAGGCAACGTCGGAATGCCGCCGTAACCTGGCATCCCGTACTAGAAGAACGGCTGCCCCGAAGACGAGGGCCGACGCTCCACAGCCGCGAGACGCAGGGAGATATCCCCCATCTGGCGTTGCATCGCGTAGATGGCCGACGTCAAGGCGTTGAATGCCTCGGTGGGAGATGCTGGAGCCGTGGACGGCGGACTGAGCAGCGACGCGGTGGTGGCAACAATGGGCGCAGAGGTGGTGAGCACCGGGAAAGCGGAGGTGGTGGAGGCGGCGGTGGCAGTGGTGGTGGTTGGGACGACGGCGGCGGCGGCCGACCTAGGACCAGACATGGCTGATACCAGGTTGTTGGAGCTTACGGATCTGAGGGCGTAGGAGTGGGAGATGGAAGGCCTAGGCTTGAAACCCCGGCGACGAACTGGCGGCGCCGTGTTTGGCGCCTGGCTGGAACTTGCGACAACAGAGGACCGTGAACAGTAGCACCCGAGGGCCCAAGGTGAGATAAACTCAATCCCAGGCTGATCTTTATTCCTTTTGATTGTTTGACACTTATACCAACTCAATAACAAACCTCTCCTAAATCTAAGGGCTAACAAACTTGACTTAACAAACTCCAACTAAAATAGCTCTCCTAATAACTAATCTCCTATTGAACTGGCTGGAGCCCAACCCGGCTCCCACGCCTGGCCCTGGTTGCCACACTCTGGTGCAAGCCCCCACCCAACTACCTTAGCCACTCTTCTTGTTACGATGGTGGTACACCTTTCCCACCATAACATCCACACATTTTAAAACAAGAGAAGCGCAAAATCCGATGGCCTCCTAGGGGAAGGGGGCCAAGATCCTCGAAGTGAAAAGAGGGAGCCAAGGGAAGGGGAGGGAGAGGAGGGGATAGAGTGCACCTCTGCCATGCGCAACAGGCCAGATGCGCCTATGTGGGGCTCCTCCAGCAATGAAGGCTGGCGAGCCAGATCCACACACATATTCGGCCCCGGCGCTGGCAAGGAGAGCACACACCGTAGAAAAAGGCCTTTCTGAGCACAGAGAGTTCACTCATGCCACAACGAAGAGGAAGGAAGGAAAGCCTCACATCCATTATTACACAGAGATCTGGTGAGGGGACGAAAAGATCCAACAGAAAGGTAGGATGGACAGATCTGGTAAATGGGCTGAAAAAATAGAACGATTAGGCACACTTTATTGTTTGTTGTAAAGCAATGGAAAATTCAAAGGGTCAAACCAACCACACGAATTAAGAGTTATCTGAACTAATTATGGTTAGACCTGTAGGTAACACCAAGACCAAACACTCAGAGCTTAGTATTTTAAATACGCCATGATAGCCACATATGAAGAACATGAGTCTTTGACCAGCTTTATTAGCAAAATCGGGAATGCATATGACATCTAGCAGAGTTAACCCAACAGGAATGTTTTAATCATAGTGAAATGCTGATAATCTGTAAGTTTAGGTGTCACAGGTTGGGAATCAGGGTTGTTCTAGGGGCTTCAATATGGCATTGAAAAAGCTACACATTTTGAAACAAAAAAAAATATCATTGTAGCTTTTCAAGGCAACCTAGTCTTGCAACCTTTGTGTACAACAACAACAACAACAAAACCTTTAAGTCACAAACAAGTTGGGGTAGGCTAGAGTTGAAACCCAGCAGAAGCAATCAAGGTTCAGGCACGTGAATAGCTGTTTTCCAAGCACTCCTATCTAAGGCTAAGTCTTTAGGTGTATTCCATCCTTTCAAGTCTCCTTTTATTGCCTCTACCTAAGTCAACTTCGGTCTTCCTCTGCCTCTCTTCACATTACTATCCTGGCTTAGGATTCCACTACGCACCGGTGCCTCTGAAGGTCTCCGTTGGACATGTCCAAACCATCTCAACCGGTGTTGGACATGCTTTTCTTCAATTGGTGCTACCCCTAATCTATCACGTATATCATCGTTCCGAACTCGATCCCTTCTTGTATGACCGCAAATCCAACGCAACATATGCATTTCCGCGACACTTATCTGTTGAACATGTCGTCTTTTCATAGGCCAACATTCTGCACCATACAACATAGCAGGTCTAATCGCCGTCCTATAAAACTTGCATTTTAGCTTCTGTGGTACCCTTTTGTCACATAGGACACCAGATGTTTGGCGCCACTTCATCCACCCTGCTTTGATTCTATGGCTAACATCTTCATCAATATCTCCGTCTCTCTGTAGCATTGATCCTAAATATCGAAAGATATCCTTCCTAGGCACTACTTGACCTTCTAAACTAATATCTTCCTCCTCCCGAGTAGTAGTGCCGAAGTTGTAACACCCCAGGTGTTTGGCTTCCACATTTGCACTTGCATTTCATAAACATGAGCATCATTCATCCATTTCTGAGTTCATATTGCATGAAACATGCTCTTGAAACATTGTAACATATGGTCATATATCATGTATGTTTGTTTATGAAATGAATAGGGTGCAACACTCAAGTGCAACATATACAACACACTTTAGTGAAACATGGTTAGTTAGTACTATGCAACAAGATCATGAAACATGTGAAACATGACTATGAAACAATTGTAACATTTCATGTGTTTTTCATTGTTTCAGTACATAACTTGCTTGATTCTTGTGTGACCAATGTATGGTGTGGCTAAATATCCTTCTAAGAATCTTAGTCATACTTATAATGTCATTAGGAACAATGTTCATGTTGATCATTTTGCCTAATTAGGTTTCCAAGTAATGGTTGACCAAATTGGACCCCTAGAGCTCCTGTGTTTGACTGTTTAAAAAGTGTAGCTTAGGATGTTTGCATGTCTGAGCAACCTAAAGCAAAGTTGTAGAGAATTATATGTGGAACAAAAGTTCTTTTATGACCATCTCATGAAAATGTGCACAACATGTTCAAAAATGTCCCACAAGTCAGGATTGAAAGCTGTTTCAACAATTGAAAATTTTTCTAAGTGTTCTACTGGATTCCAGTTTCATGAAGACGACTTTGGAGCCATGTAGATTGAAATCTATGGCAAATTAGCTCAAGCTCCAATTAGCAAACTTATAGTACTCACGTAGGTCTCCAACTTTGTTAATTACAACTTAAACTGGATCGCCACGGATTAAGAGATCTTTTGTCAACAAGTTTCGCTGTCAGGCTGGTTTTGGAACTCTGAATCGACGCTACAGTGGTCGACCGGCTTCAGGCTTTTAGCGCCGCGTGGCACCGCGCGTCGCCGGCGTCCTACCTGCTCAGGCCACGTCGGGCCAGAGCGCGCCAGCACAAGCCGCAGTGTGCGCCCGTGAGCCTCCCAGCGC